TATTATTCAACTCTCGTGCAGCATCAGGACATGAACCAGCCGCTTCTCATAGATTTATATTTTATCCTGGATTACGTACGATGCCTTTTCCGCAGTGAGACGAGAGAGCGAACCCGATCGCATACGCCTTGGAATTCCACCGACTGCGACATCCAATTTTCACGTCCGATGATTCCAGCAGAGTCGATACTTCCTCCTGCACTACATATCTCTCCCTCAACCGCCCAAGGACACATTCACCCATGAGATTTACTCTCATTTTGCTCTTGAAAAATAAAACGACAAAACCAAATAAAAATAAATAGCCGAGGGAGCAAAAAATTCAGTTTAAACATTTCTGCTTTACACTCGGTAATAAATTCCCATTAACCAGCACCAGGGGTTAATAAATATAATCCAGTCTACACTGGTGCAGTCTAATTAAGATTCTACCCGAGTATTCCTCGGACGCGGGGCGCTTTCAAAGATAATTCCGGGGGCTTCATGAGAACGAGGACTTGCTTAATGCTGGTATTTCTCGAAAATATTGACCATACGTTAATAGGCAATGTCAGGCTCTCCCTCTCTCTTATCCTCTCAATAGTTTCGTGGGACTAAGTTAGCGACTGGGATTATAAAAGAGCTTAATTCACTTAATTTCGTGGTATAGTAATCGTACTGTGTTGGCCTTTGAAAAATTTTTATCACACGAAGAAAAACAAGTGGGAAATTGCTCTTTTATTGCATATTGTATAGTTATTTGTGCTAATATATCAGCAATATGTTTCCGAATGCTTATTTCGCACATCATTTCCTTCTATCATGTGTAATTCATTGTTTATTTCATTTTATCAGATTGAATAAGATTTCTTTTCAACTCATTTTGCCAGATTTTCAACTTACAATTAATTGAATGTTCTCATCATCGTTATTCTTACTATCGCTTTCTTCTATACAACAGATTGAATTTGAGATATCATATTTGAAGAAAATAAATTTTCAATAATCCTCATGAAAATCAAATCAACCGATATAGCTATAATATCTAAAGTAATCGTCGCTTAACTTCGACTTAATGGCATTAAAACAAACATTAAAAGGTATGATTGATTGGATTTGAAGCATGATATTCAAAGATACCCCCGAAACTCTGATTTTCAAAAAATAGAAAATTTTTGCAAATTTTCAAATAAATCAAAATAACGATTATTGCTATCGCCTTTATCTTCAAACTCGGTCAAAAGGATATCCAAATAAATTGTTTAAGCCATCATTGAATCAATTCAGAACATTTTTTTTAGTTATCATAGGACAACCAATTTTCGAAAAAATTCGAAAATGAAAAAACTAGTCGATGAATTAAATTTTAATTAATGGCGATTGATAGGGCTCAACAATACCGACATTTGAAAAAGAAAATCAATTCCATGGGGACCATTGAACATCGAATTAGTAATCATAAATGAAGTTTATACATAATATTTGGGCAAGAAAAGTTTTGCTCTTCAGATGTAACTAAAAATTTTGATAAACGAATGAATTAAAAATGCATCTCCTCCCGCATTTTTCATAATTAAGGAGCGAAAGTTTCAGATCATATTAAAAAAATGCGATTCTCCACTTTTGAGTGACAGGAGACAAATATTAACTCCAAAATCAGCTCAGAATATTACCCACAAAAATCGCGCGGAAAATAGTCTTTTTTAATTTTTTTTGTTGAAAAACGAAAAATTTTTTTTTCCGGAGTGAACCTCCCCTTAACATTTTGCCACTTAAGAAATTTTCGTCAAGCAACTTCACAACTCCGATGCATAGCGAAAAAATAAAAACTTCCAGATAATTGAGCGTTTGAGTGTTGGCTTAACTAGAAAAAAAAGTCTTTCGCTATTAATTCTCTCGTCTCCCTCAACTCAAAAGACAGCCGATCGTTATCGCCATTGTCCCGAGCGATAATAATCGTCGATGGAACCTAGAGTGACGAAAAAATTTTGCATCATTATCCATAATCGACGTGTGATTCCTTTTTTCCATTCTCTTTATTATTTTACCCCCAGTTTTTCAGTCTTATTGTCTCACTCGGTGTCTATATCCCTAGTTGTCGATGTTCGTAGGAGGCTGGGGGGTGGAGAAATCACACGGATGGAAAAACCGGGTCGTCGAATTTCCAATTTCACCTCGAAAAGCATCGAGGTACCGTACCTTATCCGTTATTCTCGCCCTTTTTCCTTCTCTTCCTCATCTCTTTTTCTTCCACTTCATCCTTTGTCGTTCACGTGGGAGATGGCGATCGATGGTTCCTCAACTTTTCCATGTTATTTTGCTCCCCAATAGTTGTCAATGTACTGAGGCCCGGGGGGGGGGAAGACTTTCGCTAGAGCATTTAAAAGAATACAAATGTGTTGGAAAAAAAGGATGACAGGAGATCAACGAGCGTGGTTGTAAACGAGCGGAAGTCGAGGTGAAAATGCTATTTCGTTTGTCATGTCAAAGAAAAAGAGACTGTTGGAGAGGTGGAAACGTTCGAGATAATGGAAATGTCGAAATTGTCACGTTCTTAGTGTTTTAAAAGCCCTTGGATCTATTTTACGAAAGAGAATACTTTTTTCCTGTGGAAAATTTTGAAAAGTAAAGATGAAAGAACATATTCGGAAATTAGGTTCATGGCAATTTTCTGTGATGTCTGAAGAGTTTTATTTAGTGGAGTGTAAATCAGCGCAAATTCATCAGTTTTAAAAAATGAGGTAGAGAATATGATCTCGAATGCGTAATGAGCAATATTCTTGGAATCTTTTTAGCGTTACACACAACGAAATTGACGATTTGAATTAAATAAATTTTATTTAGATCAAATAAATCGTTTATTTGATTCGAAGAGAAGATTTGTTTGATTTAAATAAAGTTTATTTCATTCAAATAAGCCATTTTTATTGTTGTAGTAATTAGCAATTGACATATATTACTAGCATTCATAATTGAGAGGGCTTCTTATCGTCTCTTATAACTCATACACTGTTAGATTTTTTTTGAAAATTGAGCGATAGTTGCACCTAAATTCGAAGTGTTGTGAATTTGACATAAATTTAAGATCAAATCGTTCATAGAATCTCTCATTCAGGTTAGAAATTCAGGATAAAATTGGGTTTTCCAGGTTAGATTGTCACTGATATTTCAATGACATCTAGAATTTTCAAATTCATTGTGGAAATTAAACACCACATCCAACTGAACTTTCACTGCATTGAAAATTCAGAGAAATTGTTGCTTGAATTTTCAAATTATTTAATCATTTTCATCATCATGTGGACCTCAAAACCGTAATTTCATTCCAGAATTCAACTGATTTTTCAATAACAAAATACATGAAAAAATCGTGTGAATGAGTGATTGTTAAAAATTTCACGATTTTTTACTTGAAATTTCAGGAATAATTTCCTAACAGTGTAGGGTTTTTGACACAAAGTTCGTAGTTTGCACCCTGCACGGAAAGAAATGTTCGGTAAAAATTACGGAACGCTTCAAAAAAATTCTGTGACAGTTTCGTAAAATTTCTTACAACCACATTTCGCTCCGGAATTACGGAAAAGATACGTAATTTTTATTGAATATTTCTTTCCGTGTGATGAGCGAAAGGAAAGTGAGTCTTCTCGCCTTAGGGTGAGAACAGAAATCCGAGGGACGAAATAAGCCACTCCTCTCGTCATTTGGGGAGAAAATTGAACTTCCCGTGCAGATATGCCGAAAAATAACATGTGCACCTCGGGCCGGGAAAACATCACTTGCTGATCTTGGCACACAATATACTATTGTTTATTAATCATTGTTTCATTGTTCATTTAATTTCACATTCTTTAAACCAAAAATTAAATTAATATATTTCGTCATTAGGCTGAAAAAAAATTTTCTGCCGAATATGAGTTTTCAACAATTTTCTGCAATCAAGAACTAGAAAAGTTTTTTTCGGCCCAATTTGGTAATGTACTATTTTATTATGGGATTGTATAGATGTATTTTTTACTGAAGGAATCGTAAAATATTCTCCACGAGCGAACTTTTCCATTGAATATTACATTTCGCTTCACGATTACCTTTCGTACAACAAAATTTGCCACGATTTTCTCGATAATTTTCATCCAACTTTTCTCCCCATGTATGGTTTCAGTCAGTAATATCTCATTCAATAAAAAAACCTCAACTGGATGAAAAAAAATCGTTTAATGCACTTAACTCTCCCCCTGACTTCATTAAATTTAGCACGTCCGTCACAATGAATTACCCCCAACGGAGTCCAGCAATAATTCACCAATTTTCCCGCACAAAGTTTATGCGGCAGCACAAAGTATACCGAGCCGCGTGTAGTCGAGAGACGCCCGACAGTACCTAAAGCCTGCGGTGTATCCGCGTGTCAGTTCCCTCAGGCTGTAATACCATACAGTAAGCCCCGAGAGAGATAGAGTGAGTGAGAGAGAGTCTGTTTACTTGTTTATTAATATTTTAGCGGCAAAATGCGATGCTTTTTCAACTGTTTGGAACGACAATTGCCTGGACGCTGTGTCATGGAGATCTCTGTGTTGGTTGAGCCTGTTTATGTTTGTGGATATAATTATGGAGACATGGAACATTGACATCTTTTTTGAGAAAATAAATATGTTAATGAATATTATATTTGCGTAGAATATAAATGCTAGAGCATCACATAGATTTTATTTTTGTGTTTAAAATGTTTCAAACAATTTTTTTCATTAATCAAAATCGGAGAAAAAATACAGAATTGAACGTATTTTTTATGAAATTATAATGAGAGACGAAAAATTGATTGAAATATTTGGAGTGAAATAATTAGACGTAACTCCGTGTTGGTGAATAGCTGGCATTAAACATCGTGCTCGCAACGAAGAGGCACATCTTCAGCAGACGCATCGAGCTGTAAAAAATCGTTGCGACGATTCGATCGTTGATGCTTAGCGCAATCAAACTGTCTGTCAAGTCGAATGATTGGTCATTGATTTTTTGATGTACCACAGGTGGACCTCAGACACATGGATGAGCAGCCGGGGAACAACGTGGTAGATGTGGGCGTTGATCTGTCCGAGTTCTACATGTCGGTCGAGTGGGATATACTGGAAGTGCCTGCTGTAAGGTTAGTGGATCGTTTCAATTTCAGTCAATTTTAGGAGTCGTAATATCCCGAGACCTTGAAACTTATTGGATATTACCTGAAAGCTTCGTACACCCAGAAAAATGTTTTTTTTTAATCAAATAAAAATCTTTATTTGAAATAGTTTTAGTTATTTCAAGAATATTTTTGTTGCAAATGAATAAACTTGGTTACTTGTTTCAAGAATTTTAAAAAAATTACATTAAACAAACAATTTATTCATTTCAAATAAGTAGTTTTCTTATTTTAAGAAAATCACACTTCACAAACGTGAAATCTGAACAATTTGAGTTTTCTAGAATCATTCCGATTCAATTTTTGATTACACCCTTCACTCCAGCATATACAATTTACTTCTTTCACCATCGTCTCATCATCTTACGTGAAGTATGTACACCCCCTAATAATTATTGCATGTTTTTCATTCAATACTTTTCGAGTTTATTTCCATCGAAAAGCGATAATAAATTATTGGTATAAATCAATATTTAATTAGTTCTAAGAGAAAATTTTCTTAACATAAGAAAACTGTTTATTTGGTATGAATAAAAAATTTATTTGGATCAAATAAAGATTTATTGATAGTAAAAAAACATTTATTAGATTCAAATAAATCACTTTTCAAATGAAACTTAAGTTTTTATTTTTTTTTTTTTTTTATTCATATTTCTTTCCTACTACCATTACGGTTTTATAGGCTCCTCATTTGTCTGCCTTGCCTCTCCCACTCCTCTCCTGATTTTTTCTGCGTTACCATGGGCCGTCTTACTCTTAACTGTACCCCATTCGGGCTAGGACTGCAAGGGAAACCATGGAAAACCCCAGTTGTACAGCCGGCCGATAATGCAGGGATTCCACTGTGTCCATTGGTCACACTGACTCAATGGGCACAGTGGTTCTCTACATTCGTGCCTAGCGACTGTAGTCCCACGCGGTTAGGTGTGCCTAAGCGGACACCCATCCAAGTACTGGGCAGAATGAAACTTTCTACGGTAAAAATCGCGAGTGCGCAACACAATGAATATTTCTTCAATTCTGATTGTTTCAGAGGATCATTTCTTCAATAGGATAACTTGCAAGATTTAGGGTCTAAATAAATCATTTTCAACGATAAAAGGTGGAAATATTGCTCATCAATTAATGATTAATTATCAAAAATTGAAGATTTCAAATGCTTCGGAATCGCTTATGACGTTACGCAGATGTTCGAGCCGGGTCTAATTATATGGAGAGAACATAAAATAAAGTTCTCATGTAGTAATTGTGCTGAAATTGACAGTTTCTAAGGATTTTCAATACTTGGTGATTTTTTAATGACAGAATTCCTTGAAATTTTAGACAAAATCACTTCACTTCAATTGTCACTTCAGGAAAATTTCCTGAAAATATACCGGTAATATCAGCCAAATTATTTACCAGTGTAGTTGTTCCAAATTTACCCTCAAAATAACGTTTCCAGTTGTATCACTCATTAAATAATGAATAATGAATTTCCAGTACCTAATTTTTAAAAAAAGTTTCAATCTCGTCTAATCATCTCGCTCTTATCGACATCCCACTCCAAATAGCTGAGAATTCGTGCGCAAGAAATCCTTCACCACAAGGAATTCCTTCGGTCAGTCCTCCCAAAACCCTCCCCTTCTAGAATTTCTCCTCAATCTCCCTGGAATTTAATCTCGTTACATCTTTGAACTAGAATCGACACAAGCATCCCCAAGATTCTATCCCCGAGCCTCTGTGGTCGTCTGAAATTTTAATAAAGCGCTTGCTCTCCTTTCTCCTTTCTCGAGCTCGAATATTGAAGAAAACCAGTAAAAAGGAAAAAAATGCTCATGACGATGCAAAAACCGGGGCAATATTTATCCAACTCACAACGTGAGGGCGCCCCAGAATACCATCCTTTCCGCTTTATCATTATTACAGAACACAAAAGAACCTTAAATATTATTTTTCCGTTTTGTTGTAGAAATGAAAAATTTTACACCTGCTGCGATGAGCCATACCTGGATATCACTTTCAATATAACACTGAGAAGGAAGACACTGTTCTACACCGTCAACATTATAATTCCATGCATGGGAATATCTTTTCTCACTGTACTGACATTTTATCTGCCCAGCGATAGTGGAGAAAAGGTGAGTGGATCTACTTCTCAACAACTTTAATTCAATTTCCCTTTGACTGCGACGACTACGGCAGGGGGAGGGGCGGGGAGGCAACTATTGCCAACGTTATACAGCATTATCCGCTGTAAAGGGCGGGCCTTCGATGCTCATCACGAGGAAATTTTGATGTTATATCTTCAGACGGATTAACCAGATGAAATTTAATTAAACTTGCGAGGGCTTTGCTGGAAAAGTTTATAGTGATGGAAGTTTATTCCACTTTTTTCAGATGAGAGATTGTTTTATTTGTATTTTATTACGGAAATCTTTTGGCGGAGAGATTTTACTCATTATTACTGATATTTATTGCTTTTGCTGCAATGGGGTAAGGAAAAATGAGAACTTGAATATGGGTGGATTTTACACTGTTAAAAATTTTCGTGTGAATTTTCCACGCCAAATTCCGGAAATTTCTATCGTATTTACGTTCTACTGAAATTTCAGGAAATATTGTCATTGAAAAATTGAAAAGTCAATCAAGTTGTGAAATTTCCATCTCACACTGAGAGAAAAATCTGAAGTTCGATTTACAATAAGAAAATAGTTGAGGCAGTTTTGGTGAACGATACGATTTTTTTTTCTATGTGCCATATAACATTATAGTAAGTTCACAAGCGTAATTTTTGCAAATCAAAATGCAGTTCAACTAACCAAAGTTTAAAAGTAACTACGACAAATCTATAGTGAGTAGAACTATAAAATAGTTGCATTCCATCGTAGTAATTACTTCTCCGGCCATAGTTACCGCAACCCATGAAAAATTGTTGAGGACTTTTTGACGATAATTCGATGGTGATGGAATATAGTCAGAAGAATTATATTTTTCCCTCAGTGCACCCCCACTGAAAACTCATGAATTTCCGTGCTTCCACTTAAAACTTGAAATTTCATAACCATTTTTTCTTTAGATCCGATTGAATGTCACTCTCATAAGATTTACTATAATTTTTTCCAGGAAATTGAAAAAAAATTCCAACAGTGTAGAAAGAATGTTAGAATTTTTGTTTTGATTATTTTTTCCATCCAAATTTCAGCCAATAGAATTGCACCAATACACGGTATTCAACTGATAATTTTTGGAAATCGGATTTTAGGCAATCCGAGAGTAGTTTTCGATGCTGTAAAATACATTTAGATTTGTATTTCAGTGATTATTATACCTGCAAATCAAAGGGTCAGTTGTCAACATCTTCGACTGATAGAGGCTAGCTTCCGCTGACTTTCGGTCCACCAAGCAGATAATAGTTACGGAAAGACAGCCCCTGCATTCGCTCGTTACGACAAAATACATCTATACGGTTAAAAATTTTTGTATGAATTTTCCGTGCCAAATCCTGGAAACTTTTATTTTATGTTCAATTTCCACTGAAATTTCAAATGATGTGAAAATCAATAAAATACTTGATTTTTCAGTTAAATTATTCCGTGAAAATTCAGAAAAATCAGAAAAATTTAGGAAAAAATTGAAAATTCATGTCATTTTTTTTCTGAATATTCATGTTCCATCAAAAATTCAATGATGTTGTGAAATTTACATCTCACTCCCACTGAAACCTCATGAATTTTTTTCAATTCTACCTAAAACTTGAAATTTCATCACCATTTTACCCCTAAATCAGATTCAATGTCACTCTCATGAGAATTACTATCATATTTTCCATAAAATTTCGAAAAAATTCGAACACTGTAATCCAGGTGGAAACAGAGTTAGGGTATGACAGAAATATTATGCGCCGTTACTCTCACCATCATCTCTCTTTATGCATCCGGTATCTTCATCGGTCCACATTTCATCAATACCTGACTATGAAGATGAGAAAAGTATCGTCGTCTTCTACTAAAATCTCTTTTGACACCCCCCACACATCAGAAAAAAATATCGTTCTTCTTACCGCCAAGTTATGCTATCACTGTGTAGAAGGGGATAGTTTATGACGATACCCGAATCCATTATCGTCATCCTAGTGACAGATAGGGGACAATCGACCAATGGGGAATGGATTCGGACTCGCAAGATAAAGAGGGAGGATTAAATCCGCAAACTCTTGTATCCCAAATTGGTTACAACGCCCTTTTTTCTTCTCCCTTTAACGCTCGCACATGAGTAAGAGAGACGACACCAATTGTCCGGCTGGACAAGGGTTCACAAGTTAGGGCTGACAATAAGTACTTTTCTCACGTAAATATCTGGATTCCAGTATCCTCCGGACGGAGACCCATCAGGGCAGTACGCCCTTACCCCCACACGACTCGCATGGCACGCGCAGGAGTCAGAGACAGCGGTCTTCCCTACTTGAGCTACAAACAAGGTCACCTATCCATACAAATACACTAATTTGGGAAACTTCAAACTAAGATATCCTATTATTACGGCCGTACCCCCATATAGCACATACACATGGAGAGAAAAATTCAATGAAAATTACCAGAAAAAAAACGTAAAAATTACGTTTCGAAATGTAATCCGCGGGAGAAGTAAAATTCAATAAAAAGTATGAGTCGGGACTGAACTTGTACGAATTACCACGTAAATTCTACGAATTATTCCGTAAAAATTAACCACCCGTCTGATGACTCACCGTTATGGAAACAACAAGTTGTTCTGTAATTTTTGCCCAATGATTGAGAAATTTTATGGAACGGAACGTAGAAATAACTCACCAACCTCATAAAAATTGTTGAAGGTTCACCAATTTTTGATTTTGGAGACATAATAAATCGGGAAGTCTCTGTATGACTTTACTTCTTCGGTAAAAATTGCGTGACAATTCCGTACTTTGTTCGGTGATGAACCGGAGAATCCACTAAACTCTTCAGATTTCTTCTCTTCCATTCCTATAAAAATTGCCGGAACACAATTCCCTATTGCAGATTACGTGAATTGTTCCGTAATTTTTACTGATTATTTTTCCCAATCGAATTTCGAACAATCAGAGCGCCAGTATTTGAGGCTACCCGACAGTATTGTTTCGGATATTTTCTCCTAGCTTTTGAATATTTCGCAGTAGTTCTTCATTTTTTCGGCTCATTTCAAATTGAATTGTATATTTGACGGTCTATTGAAATCGGGTCATTCTATTAACATAATTTGTTCAAATCTTCCCCAATTCACGTCCTGATGTTGTCCACTGCATTCTGCTTGGCCAAAATCCGATTGGAAAAAACAATCCGACAAATACCCCTCGAGATTCAAAATTATTCGGGTATTTCCCTCAAGCTCCATTGCAAACAAACCATCGTGCCAAGTTTTGCAGAAAAATGTCTCGCGTAAGTCTCGGGATTTTTTAACCTGCAAAACTTGACACCCTCATTAGTTTGCAACGAAGCTATCGGAAAATACCCGATAATTTTGAAGCTCTTGGGGTATTACTACTGAATATTCCTGTCCGTGCACTGAGAGAAAAATTTCCTAATATGTAGCCCGTATTTACTTGAGAGAAGTAAACCATTTTCAATGAATTAAATCTCCGAATGTTTGCGTGTCATGGAATTCGAATAAATTGTCATTCATCACTATCGTTCCGCGTGACATAATGAATAGATAACATATCGAAACATTGGAGGCGCATAAAAAAATTTAAAAACAATACATACTTTAAGATTATGCCCGGTGGCTTGGCGCAGTAAGTTCGTTGCCTTACATGCGAAAGGTTCCGAGTTCAAATCTCGGTCGCGTAGAATGGTGCGATCTAACCATTTAAAGTCTTGATCATCATCGCAGTATACTGTAACAGGGTCGAAGCGATGAAAAAAAACGATAAACAAGCAGGGATTCGAGCCTTTTTGGCCGAAGCCATCTGACCGTTATTTTACGTGTTACAACTCTTTTTCTTTCTTTTATTTCTACCAATTCCATTGGTAGTAAGCTTCCGAATGGGATAGAAGGCATTCGGATAGAAGGCATCGAAACAAATATTTTGAAAAAAAAAAATTGAAATCGGTTGCGTAGTTTTTAAGCTATTGCACATAAAAGGTTTTCAGAGTAAGTCGAATATCTCGGAAACTACCTATGCGATTGAGCTCATTTTCAATAGGAAGTATTGTCATCATGAGAGGAAGATTCTGTACAAATTTCAAGTTGATATCTCAATTTTTGCACAAGCTAGAGTGATTACAAGGATTTTTATGAAAAAACAGAAAAACGGAAATATATAGAAAACTTTGTATAAACGGGTACATAAGTTTTGATTGATTTGGATAGAAGGCATCGAAACGAATATTTTGAGGGAAAAAATTTGAAATCGGTTGACTAGCTTCGAAGATATTAGCGAAAAATGATTTAAAAACGAATACCTTTTTCTCAAAAACTATTTGATCAATCGGACTGAACTTTTGCACAGAGTTAGTCCTTATTAAGGTCTATAATCTGACAAAATTTCAGATTTTTTGGAAGAAGTTTAGCCAATTAATTACTCAATTTTCCAAAAATTGACCACTGGAAAGATGGCGATGGACATTGACACCGACAGACATGGTCGCCAAACTTCATATTTTTACGTTTCAGACCATTCTACATCATTCCAATCAAAATTAGAGAATGTGAAAACAGCACGATTACAATGCTTCCATTCGGAAGCAAAAAAATATATACTTTAAGATTGATGATTCTTCTACGCGATTTCTACAGTCTCGGTCTATGTCATCTCGGTCTTTTGCACATAAAAAACGCGAAAAACTGGAAAACGAAATGAGATAAATCCACTAGGAGTCATCGTGAGATCCGTCGATACTGCGTCTTTCCAAACTAAGACGAGACCAAAAGTTTCTGTGTTCACTGAAACTCAGACGATCTCTCTAAATTAAAGTCTCGAACATTGGAGGGGGAATTAATTTGATTGTACTCAGGAGGGAAGGTTATTCCATTTTTCTCGAAGATAATGGGTTTTGTTAGTTTTAGGTAGAATTCATCCATTATTGTTGATATTTCTTGTTTAGGATTTTATTTAGTTCGTATACAATATATATGTAAA